AATGAAAAAAGAGAAAGTTTGAAAGCCACTTAAATTGAGTCCAAATCCTTCATTTTACATTTATCAGAAGGAGCTTGGGTTAACTCCCCATCACCCCCCCAATACCACTCTCTCTTTATTAATTTTTAAAATTTAACTTTAGTCTTCATTCTTTAAAGCAGGCGAAGGGACCCTGGAATCTGAGAGTTAAGAGTGCTGTCAGGGTCACCAGATCCAACCTCTGCCTTCAGGTGAGGCTGGTTTTCATCCTGCTCATTTTACTGGCGAAACAACTGAGGCCCAGAGGCTAGTGTGAATCATGCTTAATCTGGATTTAGGAATATTTTAAACTCCATCTCAAACAGCATCAGCTTCAGCTGTTTCTCAAAGAATATGGAGTTGCAAAGATTCCAGTCTAGGCCAGAGGCTGATTCTTCAAACATGGATTTCAATGACATATAGAGTGGCTTCTAAACCAGAAGTTTATTTTATTTTTTAAATTTTTATTTATTTATGATAGTCACAGAGAGAGAGAGAGAGAGAGAAAGAGAGGCAGAGACATAGGCAGAGGGAGAAGCAGGCTCCATGCACCAGGAGCCCGACATGGGATTCGATCCCGGGTCTCCAGGATCACGCCCTGGGCCAAAGGCAGGCGCCAAACCGCTGTGCCACCCAGGGATCCCTAAACCAGAAGTTTAGGTTGAGGTTTGTGCATGGAAGAGTGGGAAAAGTCCCAGCTTTGAAGTCAGGGAAACCGGGCTTTGAATCCTGACCCAGCCACTCTCTGGTTAGTTATGTGACTCAGAATAAACCATTTCAGTTCTCTGACCCTCCATTTTCTCATCTATGAAATGGGGCCAATGCTCCTCAATTTAGAGGATCCATTTAAAATGTTTCAAGGTGGGGATCCCTGGGTGGCGCAGCGGTTTGGCGCTTGCCTTTGGCCCAGGATGCGATCCTGGAGACCCGGGATTGAATCCCACGTCAGGCTCCCAGTGCATGGAACCTGCTTCTCCCTCTGCCTATGTCTCTGCCTCTCTCTCTCACTGTGTGACTATCATAAATAAATAAAAATTAAAAAAAAATTTAAAATGTTTCAAGGTGATCAAAACAGGCCCGTCCTCACAGACATCCATTTGGTGACTAAGCAAACACTCATGGAGAGAAGCAGGTTTCTGAGTATTCCTAGTAGGAGCACATTCCTTCCCCCCTACGCCTGCATGGCATAACTCTCAGACCTAAGAAGTCACTGGGAAGTTGCCATCTGCTTGAGGGATCCCAGTGGTCTCATCATCGGAATGCTGAGGCATCCTGAAGACTGATTGTGTGTAGGCACTGCTCCGAGCACTTTATACAAATAATGTCACCAGTGATGGGGACTGCCATCTCCCCATGTTTATGGATGTGGAGAGGGAGGCTGAGCTTTCTGTTGCTCCCAGAGTCACGTGCTTTGCTGAGTCAGGTGGGCCCCCCAGCTGGCAGTTCTGGAATGTAGGGAAGCCTGATGCCACGCTCATCTGCTGAGCTGGCTTCCCTGGGGCTGTCAGCTGTGCCCACAGGACGGGGGGAGGTTGCCTTCTGAATCACCACGCCTCCCATGGGCAATGAGTTTACCTCAGGAGGGGGCTGAGCTGGGGCCTCCTTCTGCCTCCAGCTGCCTTGTCTGCAGCCCTGGCGACCTGCCTGTGTCAGAGATAGGAAATGCCCTGAGATTGTGCCTCCATCCTGGGTCAGGTTCATACCACCTCGTGTTACAGGTGAGGCAGGAAGTAAACTCTTCATTTGCTCAGAGAGAAGAATCTTCCTCTGGGATTAGAAAGCAAACAGAAGGTGAAGACCCCGTTTTTTTTTGAGCACTTACCATGTGCCAGTCATTGAAAACTTTAAATGATACAAAGTATTCTTCAGTCCAGTGATTCTTTTTTTCTTTTTAAAGATTTTATTTATTTATTCATGAGAGACACAGAGGGAGGCAGAGACATAGGCAGAGGGAGAAGCAGGCTCCCTCTGGGGAGCTTGATGTAGGATTCAATCCCAGGATCCTGGGATCACACCCTGAGCCAAAGGCACTCAACCACTGAGCCACCCAAGTGCCCCTAGTCCAGTGGTTCTTTTTATTTTTTTTTAAGATTATTTATTTATTTATTCATGAAAGACAGAGAAAGAGAGAGAGACAGAGACACAGGCTGAGAGAGAAGCAGGCTCCCCATAGGGAGCCCAATGCAGAACTTGATCCCAGGTCCCCGGGATCATGCCCTGAGCCAAAGGCAGACCCTCAACCACTGAGCCACCCAGGTGACCCTTGTTTTTTGTTTTTTAAAGATCATTTATTTATTGATTGAGAGAGCATGAGCTGGGGGGAGGGGTAGAGGCAGAAGTAGACTCCCCACTCAGCAGGGAGGCTGATGCAGGACTCTATGGCAGGACCCGGGATCATGACCTGAGCCAAAGATAGACACTCAACCGACTGAGCCACCCAGGAGCCCAGGGACCACATTTTGAAAGTAACTAATCAGTTCAACTTCCTTTCCCCTGCTTAATGGTGGTCTTCAACTTTCTTCTTACATACTTCCGGGGATGGAAGATCCATTGTCTATTCTATCAACCTATTTCATTTCTGGGTAGTTCTTACTGTAAAGACAGGAATTTTTGTGTGTGTGCTTGTGTTGAGATGAAAACTAACTCTGTGTCTCTCCCCTGCAGCCCATTCTTTCTGCCTCTGGACTACATGGTCTCATCAGACAGGAGCAGCTGGAAGGCAGAGGAGACCTATAACTAGACTGAGGGTCTCCCTTACTCTCACAGTCCATCAACCTAGCCCCGCCTGTTCTACCTTCTAAATCAGGGCTGTCCAATAGGAATATATTGTGAGTTCTATGTACCTACAAAAATTTTTAAATTTTCCAGTAACTACATCAAAAATAGCAAAAAGAAGTAGGTGGAACTATTTTTTTGGAACTAATTTTAATAACATATTTTCTTTAACCTAGTACATCCAAAATATCAACGTAACAGGTAACTAATATAAAAATTATTAGTGAACTATTATATATTCTGGTTTTTCATAGCAAGTCTTGGAAATCCAGTGTGTGTGTTACACTTAAAGCACATCTCAATTTTGACCAGCCACATTTTAAGGGCTCCATAGCCATACGTGGCTGGTGGCTACTGTTTGGGACAGTGCAGTGACCCTGTCCCTGGTCCTTATCTCTCCTGTTATGGCTCGTGCTCACCTGGATGCCTGCCCCTCACAGCTTCACCAATCTATAACACAGCAGCCACCTAGTTGTCTAAAATGTAGATTTGATCATATTCCTCTTTTATGGCTCCCCATCACTCTCAGGATAACATCCAGTCTCCTTGGTCTAGCTCTCCAGGCCCTGCCTCTAGATGCTTTCTGTTCTCCCCTCCTCCAGCCCCTGACTCTCCTGCTGTTCTGAGTTATTTCCAGATCCTCAATACAAGCAGTGCCTCTTCCCTCTAAGCCTTTGCACACGTGGTTCCCTCTGCCTGGAATGCCCTTGCCTTACTTCTTGGGCTTCCCTTTCAGATCATTCATTCAACAAAATTTATTGAGCACCTACCATGTGTCAGACACCGTCCCTAGGTCCTGAAGCAAACAATACATAATGGGGAAATGCACATAACAAAAAACATATAGTATGTAAGATGGCGATCGATAAAGCAGGATGATGGGGAAAGGTGGTGCCACCCCTACTTTGTACAGGGTGGTCAGGAAGGCCTCTCAGAGAAGGTGACATTTGAATCGAGACTTGAAGAAGTGAGGAAAGGAGCCAGGTGGCTATTTGGGAAAAAGCATTCTAGGCAGAGGGAACAGCCAGTGCAAAGGCCCTGAGGGTGGAACCTAACTAGAGTGTTGGGGCATGTTCCTGGTCGTAGAGGGGCAGAGCGAGAAAGGGAGTCATTGAAATTCAGGCAGGTCATAGAGAACAAAAGGTGGGTCCCAGATGGTAGACTGCTCTGTAAGAACTTGAGTTTTATCCTGAGTGAGGTGGGAGCCCTGGAAGAGTGCTGAGCAGAGGAGGAACATGAGCTGACTTAGGTTTGTTTTTTTTTTTTTAAGATTTTATTTATTTATTCATTAGAGAGAGAGAGAGAGGCAGAGACACAGGCAGAGGGAGAAGCAGGCTCCATGCAGGGAGTCTGATGTGGGACTGGATCCTGGGACTCCAGGATCATGCCCTGGGCCAAAGGCAGGTGCTAAACCACTGAGCCCCACTGAGTCAGGGATCCCCACTGACTTAGGTTCTAACTGGATCCCTCTGGTTGCCATGATTAGGACAGTTACTAGGCTGAGGGCAGAAGCAGACTAGTGATCATATTGGCTGGACCAGGGTGGTTGCCATGGAAGTGGAGACAAGAGGTTGGCTTTGGGATATGTTGAAGGTGGGGCCAACAGGGTTTTCCAGATATGCCAGATACAGAGTATGAGAGCGCAGAGTCAGGGATGACTGAGATTTTGGCCTGAGCTTAAGATGCAAATGACTCTTCCAGGAAGCCCTCCTGGGAACCCACAGCTCCCTGGGCCTTGCCCTGTTGGGGCCTGTCATGGCCTGTCTCTAGCTGGCCTGGGTGCTCCCCAGGACAGTGTAGGACTTGTTTACTGTCCTACTTCCAAATTGATCAGTAAGCAGCAGAGGCAGGCTGAGCTGGGGTTATTCTTGGGCTCACTGTAGGTCAGTCCCCCCCACACACCCCCTTGGGACCTGTGTTTTTCCTGTCTCCACAAGGCAATGGATATTCTAGCCTTTGCCCAGTTTCCTCACCAGGAGAGGGCACCGCCAGTCCCATTCACAGGAGTCCCCCAGTCCTCTGAGCCCTGGGGCCTCCCGTCCTGCTGCCTGCCCGGCTCACCCCTTGGGAAAGCACTGGGTTGGCCCACACGGCTGGGTCCTGAGTCAGACTCACCAACGAGGTGGGAATCTGGAACACACCCCACCTTCTCTGTGCCCAGAGCGTGGCCCAGCCGAGGGCGCTGCGACTACCCCCTCCATCGCTCCCTCCTGAGTCAGCAGTCATGGCCCTGCCCAGGGCGCGGGTCTGAGGGTTTAGCCGCCCCATCTGCGGTGCCTGGGGTGTCAGGAGGAAGACTCCAGTCAGACAGGAAGGCCTGGGGCCGATAGCACCAGCAGGAAGGAATGCCACCCGGGTGAGCGAGGGGGGCCCCGGGCAACTCACGCGCCGCCCCTCCCGGTCACGGGGGCGTGGCCTGGCCGCGGCCGCGCTCTTCCCTGCCCGCCTGGCATCTGCTCTGCGCACACGGCTCCGCGGGCGGCCCACACCGGCCTCCGGACCACAGGTAATGGGACGTGCCGGGTGAGGGGCGAGTGGAGTGCTGATCTTTAGGAGGACAGGCTCTTCCACCGGCCTGACATTTTGGGGTTCCTCGGTGGGCCTGGATTGGATCCCAGCTCTGCGCCTACCTAGCTGGCTGAGCACCTGCCTCCTCCTCTAGAAGTATCGGGGGAGGATGACAAATATGCACCTCCCTGGGGTGCCTTGAGGCTGCGGCCAGGCCAGGTCCTGCCACAGCAGGTGACCCAACTCCTGTTTCTGTCGCTGACCTGCTGCAGGACCTTCAGAAAAAACCTTTGATGGCTCAGTTTCCCCTTTTGTAAAATGAAGAGCCAAACTAGGGCTCTGAAGGCTTCGCCCACTCTGCCTTTGTGGAACCAAACGCTTGGGAAGACGAAGGTGTTTCCCGTCAAAACGTCCCAGTCTCTGTGCTTGACCAACAAGCGAAGGCGCTGCCTTCCCGGCCCCTCCGAAGGCGCCCTCCTGCCCGGCCTGGTGGGCTGGAGAGGATGAGGAAGCCAGCCGTCTCCTCAGCTTTGGGCTCAAAGGCACTTTTGGGGAGAAAATGCTGAAGAGGCAGAGCCAGGCCTTGGGGGAGGGGAGCCCCACCCCTCCCTGTCCCGCTCCCACCCCCCCACCTGCATCAGGAGCCCCACCCCACCCCCACCCCGCGCTCCGAGGGGGCATCCCAACCCCTCTCCTCTCAATTGGCCTTCAGGCCTCCAGCCAATCCGATTTCTTTTTAAGGGGGGTAAGAAAGATGATAGGCACGTGCTGGTTATTTTATACTGCTTTGTTTAGAAACTGCCAGAAAACTGTTGAGTCAGGAGTGCGTGTTGGTGGGGAGTTGCGGTGAGGGAAGTGTGCGGTGTTTTGTTTTGGGTCCAAACCAAACAGATCTATAAGTAATGGGATCCCTCTTGTCTCTGAAACTCGTGGAACTGGGGCCGGCGTAGCCCTCTAAAACGCCCGGGTACCTGTGCTCTCAAATCCTCTCCAGGCCACTGTAAAAGAGCGCTCTCTCTCCCGCATGGGCTCCACCCTGGGGATGTGCTGGGCATCCTGTTGCCAGAGGCCTCACTCCACTTTCATAGAAACCTTATGGGGGGTAGGGGGGAAGGCCTCATTCTTTTTTTTTTTTTCAGTAACAACTTTATTGAGATCTCATTCACATGCCATCAGATTCACACTTTTAAAGTGTCCAAGTCAGTGTTTTTTACTAACTCTATATTCACAGAGTGGTACAACCATTACCACTATCTAATTTAGAATTTTTGTCAAGCCCAAATAAACCCCAGACCCTTTAGCAGTCACCCTGCATTTCCTCCTTCCCCTGGCAACCACTAACCTACTTTGTGGATTTTATCTGTAAGGATTTGCTTATTCTGGACATTTTATATAAATGGGATTATATCATACTTTTGGCTGGCTTATTTCACTTAGCATCATGCTTTCAAGGTTTACCCATGTTGTAGTCTGTTATCAGCATTTCTTCCCTCTTTCTGGCTGAATGGTGTTGTACGATTGTATCATATTTTGTTTATTCATTCATCAGCTTGGGTTGTTTCCACTTTGTGGCCATTATGAATAAAGCGGCCAAGGACATTGGTGTATGAATTTTTGTGTGGACATAGGTCTTCACTTCTTTTGAGTGTATACCTAGGAGTGAACTTGCAGGGTCATATGGTGAATCTACGTTTGACATTTTGAGAAATCACTAAACTTTCCCAAAGTGGCTGTATCATTCTACAATCCCACCAGTTGTGCATGAAGGCTTGAAATTTTCCACATCCTTGTCTGCCCTTGTTATTATCTGGATTTCTTATTGTAGCCATCCTAGAGGGTATGAAATGGTATTTCATTGCAGTTTTGTTTTGTTTTTCAAGTTTTATTTATTTAAGTAATCTCTACACCCAACATAGGGCTCAAACTCATAACCCCAAGATTAAGACTCATATGCTCTTCCAACTGAGGCAGCCAGGTGCCCTCTCATTGTGGTTTTGATTTGTATTTCTCTTAATAAAAAGATGTTGAACATCATTCCAAGTGCTACTGCCCATTTCTTCAGAGAAATGTCTGTTCAAATTCTTTGACCATTTTAAAAGTAGGTTGTCATTTTATTGTTGAGTTGCAGGCATGCGTTTTTTTCCAGGGGAGGATTCTGAGGCTCTGAGAATGAATGTAGCTGCCATGCAATGATCTCAGTCTGTGGAGGATAGCGGTGGGAACTGAATCCAGGTCTGTCTGACATTAAAGACCGAGCAATCTCCTTCTCTTAAACTGGATGCCTCTTTTCTGGTTTTTGCTGTTGTCAATTGCATATGTGTTGGTGGGGAGGGAGGGAGAGAGAGAGACCAGAGAAAAAGATGGAAAAGAGAGAGGAGACAGACAGAGAAACTTAGATGACAGAATGAGAAAGGAGGCTGGACTGGCTCTGGCTGTTTAAATAGGCACCCACCTTGGAGAGTCAGAGCTGGGGAAAACCTTTTAAGAGCTTTTGGTTTCAAAAAAAAAAAAAAGAGCTTTTGGTTTCTTTCCATTAATCTCCAAATGTTGTGGGGGGAGAGGCTCAACAATTTTTATTGGGGGGCACACTCCCCCCTAGTTTTTCTTAGTTCCTAAATCTGAAACAAATCTGATTCAGCCCCAAAACCCAAACAGGGACCAGCATCCCAGCATCCTCTAGTATCTAACTGGGTCTAAGGATCTGGAGTAATGGTTGTCACACTTTTTTTTTTTTTAATTTTTTTAGAGAGAGGAAGAGAGAGAGCTAGAAAACTGGGCAGGGAAGGGAGTGGTGCAGAGGGAAAGGGATAGAGATAATCCTAAGTGGGTTCCATAACCAGCATGCAGAGCCTGACACAGGGCTCTGCCCCACGACCCTGAGATCACAGCTTGCACCAAAATCAAGAGTCAGACACCCAGGCAACTGAACTACCCAGGTGCTCCTGCCACACTTTTTTTTTTTTAAATTTTAAAGATTTTATTTATTTATTCATGAGAGACAGAGAAAGAGGCAGGGACCTAGGCAGAGGGAGAGGCAGGCTCCCCGCAGGAAGCCTGAGGCAGACCAGACCGATTCTGGGACTCCACGATCCTGACCTGAGTCAAAGGCAGGTGCTCAACCACTGAGCCACCCAGGCACCCCTCCTGCCACACTTTTTGATTGTACATGCTTCTCAAGAAAAATGGTTTAGGGACATCTGGGTGGCTCAGTCAGTTAAGTATCTGCCTTTGGCTCAGGTCATGATCCCGGGGTGTCCTGGGATCGAGTCCTGCATTGAGCTTCCTGTTCAGTGGGGAATCTTCTTCTCCATCTGCCTCTCCCCACCGCTTGTGTGCTGTGCTCTCTCTCTCTCTCTCTCTCTCTCTCTCTCTCTCCCTCTCCCACCCCTCTCTCAAATAAATAAATAAAATCTTTTTAAAAAAAGAAAAATGCTTTAGGCACCCCCAACAGATGCATATTTATAGATTTAGAAATGATATACAAATACTGTGATGATTAGCTAATGTCCAAAGGTCCAATATACACTCAGTGTGAATTTAATCACCAACAACAGTGGATGGAAGTCCACCTTGCCAGTAGTTCTATTATTATTTCAGTAAGCCATACCGTGTGTATGAGATCCCATTCATCATTGTTTTCAGCATAGTAAGGTGGCTGATGATGGCCTCGAGTGGGGAGCACTTTTGTCTGTCCAGCACTTTTCCTGCTGCTCGCTTGCACTCTCTGGATTAGAGTTATCTACATCCGTGGTTCTTTGCAGGGACTCTTTGAAGCCACTCATACACTCTGCAGGAGCTGATTCAGTTAAAACGCATTGTTCAATGCTCAGATCCACCCAACCTGGCACCAGGGTGCCGCAATACATTGCAGTAGGCTGACCATAGAGAAATGAAAGACAGGACCACAGCAGACCTGTCTGTTGTGGAGCTTCCCCTTGGCCTTGGGAACCCCACTTAGTAGGCATGACATTCAGTGCCTGAGTGCACATCAGGGTTGAACTAGATACTGTTAGTGATTTTTAGTTAAAAGTTAAGTAGGAATATGGGACGCCTGGGTGGCTCAGTGGTTGAGCGTCTGCCTTTGGCTCAGGGCATGGTCCCGGTCCTGGGATTGAATCTCACATCCCTGCAGGGAGCCCAACATGGGACTCCATCCCTGCACTCTGAGATCAGGCCCCAAGCTGAAGGCAGACACCCAAACACTGAGCCACCCAGGCATCCTGGGGTCCCGGGATCAAGTCCCATATTGGGCTCCTTGCAGGGAGCCTCCTTCTCCCTCTGCCTATGGCTCTGCCTCTGTGTGTGTGTGTGTCTCTCATGAATAAATAAATAAAATCTTTTTTTAAAAAGGAATTTTATAAAATTATTTTATATCTTGAGCTGGAATCTGCCCTGGTGACATCCCGAGGTCCTGACCTCTGGAGCTCAATAGCCCTATCTAGTCCCTCTGTCCTGCAGGAAGCCCTGTGAACACTTGGGGATGGTGACCAGGTCTGTCCATGCAATGCTTATCCTTACCTAGGCTTAGTGCCCTACTCCTCCAGACATTTCTCTTGGGTTTGATCTTAATATCCCACATGTCCCCTGGATTATCTCTGTCCAGACTCTATTCTGTTCAGAACCCAGGATTGAACCTAGGTTGGGAGATGGTGAGATATGGATCACCTTCTTCACTACATACTGTCCTTCTGTTGATACGACCTAAAACTGTTAGCTTTGCTCTGTAGCTTTATCACCTTGTTGGCTCATATTACACTTTAACAAACATTGCTTATGCACCTACCATGTGCTAGACACCAAGTTAGATGATTGTGCTGACATTTATTTACCTTTCAGAGGGTCTTTTAGAACTCCTAGGTCTTTCTGTATGAACAGCCTTCAACCAATCCTCTCTCAGCACAGACTTGATTTTGTCCCTTTTTAGTTCAGCCTAGGTGCCACCCTGCACTGCTCAGAGGCAACCTCAGGCCCTGGCTACTTTGTGGGGTGTCCTGTGGC